AACACAAAATTGATGGTTGGGAAACACACCCTGAGGCTTCGTATGCCCCTAAAATGGCGTTACACCTTGGTCTGGATGACGACTTTTGATTTTGAAATAACATGGCTCTTTTGTTTTTTGCTAAAGCAATCTTCATTTGTGCATTAGTTCGGTAATCCATTCATTTGCCAATGCACAGACTTCTCTGTCCATTCAAATATCCATCCATTAATTTGTGCACATTGCTCATAAAAGGGTAAATTTAGAGGGGGGGGGATACAGCCAGTAGTACCTGATACTAAAATTAACCTAGCTTACCCTGCATTTGCTCTCCAACGTAACATAATACAATGTAATTTACATTCTTTGTGACATGAAATGTATAGTTTCTAATAAATAAATAAAAAGCCCAACACGGAATAATTTATCATTGACATGCATGGTTCTACCTCACTTAATAGGATTAATAATAGTGCAGCTTTGTGTTTTTTCTTGGCTCCCCTCCCCCCCCTCATATTTATGTGACGTTAAATGTTATTGCTCACATATCGGGTAAAATTCCATAGTTGGTTGTTGCCGTTTGTGAATGCTCATTAAATTGAAAATAACGGCCACAGTATTTGTAAAGATTTTGTGTTGCGCTACAGGATGAACCATAAAAGTAAATGAACAGCAATACTTAAGATGATGCATTTTAAAAAGGCAGGCCAATCTAACGATCTATATGTGGTTATTGCCATATTACCAAGAGGCAATTAAATCCTAAGGGTATTTAATTAATGACTGTAAATCAATTAATTTGCATAGATAAAGTCAATACTGCTGTACAACATAGAAAGGTGTGTTTGCGTGTGTTTCAATCAGTTCTCTACGCTCATACTCCAAATGAAAACCATGAAATGCATTGTTGGCTGTCGTGTAAAATTCATTCATGATGAAAATTGAAACGGAAGTCGGAGGGTTTTTTTTTTTACATCTGTTGTGGAAAAACTCAATGTTCACAGTTTCTTCTCAACCTGATGTTGGGTAAAGAATGGATGTAAGGTTTTTGCGATGCCATTGCTGTGCGGATTCTACCTTATTTTCCTTATTTAGGCCCTTTTGTTGCACAAGGCTGTGAAGTCACCCCATTGCATTCTTTTGTGCATCTAGCTTAGCCTGTTTTAAATGTTGTGGAAATTATTCTTCTGCACACCGATGTGCTGAACTCGTAACTAATTGGCATGTTCTGTTTACGTGACAAACCTTACTAATTGGCTGTCGGGTGGTGGCAGGTTTAACGACACATTTATATTTACGCGATCTAGTCCAAACAAAACTATTACGGATGCGTAGCCTGTGCTCAGACTGGCGCTGCACTCCAATGCACGTGTTCCCCTCTTGGTCCCCTTGTATGCTGCAGCGTTCCCACAACCATTACGAAGCATTTCCAAGCCGTGCTGGGCTGTTCTCTGTGAAGGCCAGCACGGCTCGTTTCATATCCCAGTGCTTCATGGTTGCACGGCCCCGTTGTTCTGGACCCTCCGCTCCACCTCATCCCCTCCATCTCCTCTGCTTATTCCTCCTCACCCGGGGGGTGGGGGGGGGGGGAAGCGATCGTAATCTCTCATTCTATTGTGTTTTTTAACAAGGTGAAACACGTGCTAATGCTACCCAATGCTACCAGATTTTTTCTTATTTCTTAAATGTTTATTATGTAAAACCTGACCCTGAATTTGACCCAAGTGACGAACACCATTTGTGGATCTGCGTTTCTTCTGCATCGACTCCGCAACCCCACGGCTGCTTCTCAGGTTTACCTGGCTCAAGGCGTGCGGCTCCCTATGGAAAGCAAAGCCACACGGCCCATATAACGGGATGGAGGTGTGGGGGAGGTCACCACTTCTCCTGATCAATGCTCATGTGTGGCGTGGCAAGGCCGCAATGAAAATCTGAGCCAGGCCCACTTGCCAAGTTTATTCATGGCATCGGCCTGATTTTCACTGGCCGTGGGAACGTGGCATTAGTAAGAGTCTTGGATCGAGGGCCATGGCCCTCGAAACGAAGCCTGAGGTTTGAGGCCGGTAGGCACAAGGCCAAGGTCAAGGCTGAGAAGCCGCAAGGCGAATTTGAGGCCAAGGCCCACGGGCTCTTTGGGCAAAGGCCAATGTCAAGATGGGATCCTCTGGTGCCAACGCCAGTGTCAAGCCTGGTGCCTCCAAGACAAGCCTCAAGCCTCATATTTACGTCTCGCCCCTACTGACCAAATGTCCTCGAATGACCACGAGCCGGCCCCGCGGTCAACGACTGGTCTCAAGGGACTCGAGTCAGGAAATTCCAAAAACATATGTTTTGGAGTGAGATGGCTCGTGCCATGTGGAATGATATTGCATCTGCATTTCACTCGGCATTTTTACCATCGTCACGATCAAGTTTCACGTCCGAGATAAAATTGTGCAAGCATCCAAAGGTCTCCGCGACAAACAAGGTTTTACGTGTTTAAACTTGCAGGAAGAGCAGTGCCGGTTGGAACACCAAAAATGTATTCGAAGCTTCCAAGTGGCTTTTGTGCATCATTAGACTCCAAGACGAAGCGTGTGTATATATATAAAAAAACCCACAGATTTGCCGTTTTTTTGCATTGCGGAATGGCGCAATATAAATGGAATCTATACTCGGAGCCTGTTGTAGCACATCCTTAGATGTAAGCACAATGCATTTATACAAAGTCTAAGTATAACTACACGTCGCAGTTGTCTCGTTTATTTCAAAGCAATTAGCACGTCCCCCTGCCTTACAGTTGAATCGCCAGAAAGGCACATTTTTATTTTTCGTCTTCCAGCCCCCCCCCTCCACCACACACACAGTGACCTTTTTAATTTCACTCTCGTTTGTTTCTCATTAAAGTTGTGACGCACATAGCAGCGGCAATCCAGAAGGGAAGCCCCTCGCACTGCACTGTCGATGCTTTTATACAAGCGCGGCAGCATTTTTTGTAAAAAAAAAATTTGTACCCCATTCCCACCGGACTTCGCTGTAACAGTAATTGATGGAGCTATTGTCCCTCCCTCCTCACTGGGGTCCCACCCCTCATTCCTCTTACCTCAACTCGCTCACCTCCTGGCTATAATAAGCCTTCTGCTGCTTCGACGGGGCCATAGCAGGTTCCAGAGTTCACTCCCATGGGTTTAATTAGACTGGAGTTTTGCTTTGGGAATTTGTCTGCCGTGGCTCTCATGGAAAATTACCCTTAATTGCATTTAGATTGTGGTCCAGGGCAGTTGTAATTGTGCTAATTTGTGGGACATAATGACCCCTCCCCACCACCCCCAACTCCGAATTTCCCCGCCTTTCTCCATAACATTAAATCCCTACTAGGGGTGCGGCGATGCATGGATTGATCAATTAATATCTTTTGACACATGCACGATCCAATTCACGCGTAGCAATCGGTGTTTCTCTATTTGTCTACGCTGCACGTAATAAGTTCATGTGACTCCTGCGGCCACTTGTAGCCGCTACATTCACCACGGTGTTGACAAATGTTTCTTAAATGAAATTGAGACAGAATCGCAATGCTTAATTGAAGCGACTAGAAAGTGAATCGTGACACCTCTATTCCCCGCACCGCTGAAATATACCCTTCTGCCCTGCTTGTGCTCCAAGGGAGAGTAGACAGAATGTACAAGTAGTTGGTTGATGCCTGCCTAGAACATTAACTTAAACATCAATATTCCCCATTGTTTTTAGATACTGCGTTTCAACTGACACATCCGAGCCAAGCCAGCGTGAAGCTGCAACGCTACGGGTGGTTTTCAACTGGCTGTTGACCATGCTGAGCCAACCCCAAACCGTTATGTGCTGGCTTCACAAGACATCTGAATTTGGCTCCGGGCCAAGCTGGCCCAGGGAAGGGTCTAATGATGTGTGACACCAGCCGCTACACTGTGAAGAACGTTAACAACGTTACATCACCGTGTCATCTGCATGCATTTCGACCCGCTCAAGATGGGCTGGCCCGTCGGCAGACCTGGCAGTGGCTCAGTCGTACAATGGAAAACGGCTGATATATTGCTGAGACATGTTCTATTTGTGAGAGCCTATGAAAACCAGAATGCCTATCGAACCGCCGGTGACGATGTTGACAATCTCAATTTTTGATGTGCATGACCGAGATTCAGCATCTCGTCACCGGAGGTCACGTCGCGCTGTGCACGTCGCCGCGGCGGCTGCAGCCAACGCACGCAAACACGCTCGCTCGCTCGCTCCTTCGCTCGCTCTGCCGCCTTCACTCTCAGCTTCTACGTCGGGGGCCGCCAGTCAACAAATCCCATCTCGCGTCCCCTTTCCTTAACCGCGAATTGTGCCGGAGGCGTGACCCACAAACACTCCAGTTTAATTTCTGCCCCGCCCTCCCCCACCCCCATCCTACCCTCCTAATTTATGACAGGTGGCCGAATCTTAATGGCATGTCCTTGTTTCCATAAAATGCTAAAAAAACCTATGTATGTATGTTGAACTTCTTTGGCAACGTACGTAGCCAACCGCGCTATGAACGACTATCTGACTAAGATGGACAGAATAATGCATTGAGTCAATGATTATACATTTGTATGCTCACAATGCCACGCATAGATTCACATGCTTGAGAATTTTAGGTATTTTGATATGTATCTATCTATGTGCATTGTTTGTAATGGGTTTTTATTTGCTCTTACAGCCGCTATAGGAGATCCGATGCAAACGAATGTTTGAACGATTTCTTAAATCGAATCGCAACCGTCAATCCCGACAATTCATCAATTTGCTGGCCATTCAACCCATTACTCCCCAACTGAATGCATAGCCACAATTTTCCAAATCTCCTTTGCATGAGGGGAAAATGAATCTCATTGGCCGCTCACCTCACCTCGGTTAAACTGAGGACGTGGGTACGTACTGACGACGACGGTGGAGCAGCAGATGAAGTCGGTGGGCGCGGGATACGTGCGCGGTATTCAGAGGGGGTTGACTTGTTAATGCGAGGTCCCTGCTGTTTGCAGATGGAGATGGAGGTCAGGACCACCTGCTCCCAGGCTGCACGGACAGCGAATGCCACACGAGCGTCATTTACCTCAACAAGCCCGGCTCGCAAGTGGTATCCTCGCGCACTGCCTCGCCTGCTCCCTTGCTCACATTCTCGCTCACATTCTCGCTCACACACTCGTTCACGTGCTCGCTCCCTCGTTCACACGCTCACTCGCAGACTTGCTCACAAACTTACTCGCCCACGCCTTTAATCGCTCACTTTCTCACACACGCACGCACTCATTCAAACGCTCACTCGCGCACTTACTCGCTCACGCACTTACACCCTTGCTCGCTCGCACTTACTCATTCACACGTGCGTGCATTTTCTTGCTCACACACACACTGCATGTGCACTTGCCCACTTACACACCTGCTCGCTCACACCCACACACTAACGCATGCATTGGCTTTTTCTCGCACGCTGACTCACTGTCGTGCTGGCTCGATCACCCACTGACTTGGTTAGACTTCTGCAGCATTATCTGTTGTGTCATACATTCTCCATCTCTATACCGTATGTTTTTATGTTTTGAAAGAGATGTGTGTGAATGCGTAATATATGATATGAATATATGTACACATTTACACGTGTGAGTGTTTGTGTGCTCTCCTGCAAGATTGGAGGTCAAAGGGTTTTTTATAATGAGATCTCGGAAACATTCTTACGAAGGTCCTTATATACTATTTAAAGCCGTATCATAATTTTCTAATCATGCATAACTCTATAATAACACAAAGCACTAATAAAATCTACATGTAGAAGAAAACGGCGGCTGTGAGGCACAGTGCGCTATGAAGCCTGACTATCTGAGTTCGAATCCCGGTCGACATCAGTAACGAATGATATCTTAACTGATCTTGGCCCCCTCCCTTCACCAACTTGCACTGACCCAGTGTGGTGAATTATCGTTGAGAAAACAACAACAAAATCCCCCCATGACTGACGAGGCATGGCAAGGCCTTCCAGCAGTGGCTTGGCAAAGCTCTGAATTATCACCGATTTTGTATTTTATCAGAAAAAAATAGTGAAGGAGATGAACCTCACCTTCCTGATAAACACGGACAGTGCAGCGTAAACGATTTACCAGGATCACATTTGTGTACCACGTGTCTATCTTGAACGTTGCCGATAAAGTTCTCAACAGAAACAACAATGAACTGCATTACAGCAATTCGTGCACATCTGAGCACACTGCCAATAATTAATTATCAAAACCTGATCATTACCCCCTGGTAGCGTCCAGTGTTAAAACTGGGTGAAGTACATGTGTTGATTAATTGCTGTGGAGGCTTTAGAGCGGTTGAGTCTGGTCCTGTAATGTGATCATAATAAGAGCTGGACCCATTTTAGACGCTGCATAATCGAGTGTTGGATGGGGTGAATTGTTTTTTTTTAAGGCAGCACTTGCTATAGTCTGAAGTATTTAATGGCGCAGCAGGTGTGAGCCAGTTCTAAGGCTTAAGTACAAGTCACAGCAGTGAGTAAAATAATCTGTTTGTAGAGGAGCTGTCTAATTTTTCCGATGGGAGAGTCGCAACAGCCATGTGAGCAGTGAAGCTGATCCAAACCACAGATCCCATTAAAGCGTTCCAGCTGGGCTAAGGGAAACGTATTAACTACCATCTTAGCAGACGAAAGGTCAAACCCCGTCACTTTGCTCCGACACGAGCTTGGTTCTCCCTCCCTCCCTCCATTTATTTTCTCTTCATTTTCTGCACGATGGATCGGCCACTGTTCATTGACAAAGGTGAAGTTGTTCTACGTTCAAGTTGCCTGACAAGTCTCTCGTGGCACCATTGGCATGTTTTTGGCGTGTTGACTTAATGGCCTCACGGGCAGACACTTCACTTCAAACCTCTCCCGGGTGGCATTAGACGTCCTCTGTCGTGTCAGCTCTCGCACTGTTGATGCGGTGTTTCTGTAATAGCATTACTGTGATGATCAGCATGTATACAAACCAAGACATTACGGCTGGCCATTAAGACGTTATTAATGTAAAATGAAAACAACAGGGTGCCCGCATCTGATCATTGTAGCACGCCAGCTGTAATGGACTGAGAAGTCAATTCTGTTCCCCATTGTGCCCCTGTGCTCTTGGTTAGATAAGTAGCATTCAAAGCATATTGCCGTGTCGCTGGGCAGGCACATTTGCGACGGCTTATCGCGTGCTGCGCGTGTCGAGAAATTGTTTTAAATCCGGCGGCATTGCACGCTGACGAATTCCGTGGCGTTGCAATCACTTGGAGGGGCAGATATTATCTGCGAATGCCATTACGATCATCGCAGGATGGTCACCTGCGGTGCACAGTGTTGCGCCGGTTACCGGCTGCCGATAGTTGTCGGCAGCGGCACGCGTCAGCAGTTTCCTGGCCTTATCTTCGTGAAAAAATGGAGATTGGGCAGCAATTACGCGCATGGGTCATCAGTCACTGTCATTCATTAATTTATTCATATCCCTTATAAGGCGGGTGAGAGTGCAATAACGTGCAAAAAATGTTCTACGCGGGAGATCTTGTAGAATGTGGAGGAACATATACATCCATAATACAGGTGTTTTTTTTGTTTGGGGTTAGATCACGGAAATATAAACGTGTTGTTAAACCCGCAACCACCCAACACAGCAATGAGTGATGTTTGTCACGTAAACAGAACGTGCCAATTCGTTACTAGTACAGCACACCGGTGTGTTGGAGAGCCAAGCCACAACATTTGCAATCTGAGTACGACGTTTCGCCAGCAATTACAATTAGCTTCATCAGGCGGACAGCCAGATTTGTGGAGAAATCCTGTTTCGTTCCTGTCGGGTGGTGGCGGGTTTAACGACACAAATATTTTAATAACACGCTCTAACCCAAAAAAACCCTGTATTATGGATGATATTGGTCGTGAAAGTCTATGTGTTAAACTGAAAATATACATGTTAAGAGTATTACAGTACAACTGAAACACGCGCATGTTTTGATGGGTGGGACACCTTAGTTGCATCACGCGCAGCAAGTACAATAGCGAGAATGTTAAAAAGAAAGTTGCACTTGCGTATGCAATGAATAATACCTTGCAAGTTGTACTGAACAAAAGAACTTGGAAAAAAAAACCTCGTAAAATATTCCACGCGTCTACATTATTCTATTATCAAGCGAGGAATACGTTTAAAATTTATTGGAGTTAAGTGCATTTAGCAGATCCTATTACATTCCTATATCAGCTATTCAGCATCCGAAATGAAATGTTCGCGTGACAGTGCAGATGAAAAATTACATGCAATTTTCCAAACCTAAATAAATGCAGCACATTGACTTCATGCAAGGTTAACCTATTTATCAGAGCGCTTCGTGGTAACATTACATATTTCTAACACCTCAATAATGCGTGTGGATGCTGCAGGCAGTTGTTAGGCTTAATGAAGCATGGTGCACAGTGTGCAGGTACGAGCACTGGTGCAGGTGCGAGTACTGATTAACAGAGTGATAGGCGTTTACCTTTCCTTCAGAGGAGCGCAACTCATTCGGCTCCTTGATATGCTGGTAAGCAAACCTCACACGAGACACTTTTAGCTGATCTGCGTAAGAGCAGAAATTTGCTATGACGGCTCTGGCAGTACTTTCAAAGGTGTCTCAATTATATCCGTATGATATTGTTCCTGAGTCAAGGTACGTGAACGCCCTCAGAAGTTGGGATGAAAACGGATTGTTGTCGGTTCCCTATCCAGAGTCTGCACTTGAGCAAACTCATCGTCGTGTGGACACTATTGAGGCCTCGGAGAAAGGATATCTTGCCCAAAGGGTTTAGTGCTCCCAGATGTTTCAACCATAGACGAGGGGGATTCGGGACACAGATTGTGTACGCGGTAGAAATGGAACTGTAATCATCGTGGCGGCGAGTTAACGTTTTCAAATGGCGGGTCCCGGCAGCACTTGACAGGAACTAGTACAGGGTCAGTTATGCTCGGCGAAGGGAACGTTTTCTGCATAGGTGAAGGTACTTTTTGAGTTTGCCCAAGGTGAGTTTTGAAATACGGTTCGTTTGTGCTTATCATATCCATTCATTGCCCAATGTTGTTACCCCTGAGGTAAATATGACTTGAAAATTATATATTTTTTATCAATTAAATCTCAATTCTATTATTGGCATCCAGGCAAAGAGTTTTTTTTAGCTTCCTCTAACATGTATGCCAAACATATTTTTTTACGAACGAAATAAGCAAAAATAATTTGTTATTATCTGAACAATGCTGGTAACTAAATTGAGCCGTGTCCTTATTTCATTTAACGGAACAATCACAATGAACAAATCGAGATTATGCAGGGCAATGAGGGATGGGGGAGCTGGCCGGCATAAAACTAAAACCCGGATCATACACAAACCCTATGCAAATGAGGCCATAAACACGTCTTGTTTACTTATGTAGAATGGTGATGATGATGTAGAATGTGCCTTCTGTTTTTATTGCCCCTTAAAGTCATCGGTTTATCTTGCTGACATTTGTGGTCACATGGCCACAGAGTCCACTGACCCATGACAAGTGAGAAGCGTACATTAATTTAACTGTCGTGCGTACGAATATATGCTCTTTTTTATTTCTGCAAGCGTGCTTAATCTGCAACCTGGATAATCTGTGGAGATGGATCGCCAAAACTTAGCCGTGCAGCAAAACGGTGGCCACCTCTGAAGCAAAAATGTAAAATAGGGGCACAAATCGCTGGCGTCAATCATCGAGCAATTTACATCGCACCTCCCTTTCACATTTTGACATTTTTCTCAGGACTCAGTCCAGCAGCCACAGCAACAGCAGGCGTGTGACGGCATCAGGCAGCTGAGAGGTTTATCATCAAACCCCGCAGGAAGGGAAGCAAGGTTAATAATAAAAATGATGTTAGTCTTAAGTGAAAGAGGCAAAAAACGTGTGTATATAAAACACGAACACTTTGGCTTCACTCGCCGAATTTACAGTGCGCCACATTTTTGCCGATATGGAAACCGCACAGAATGGAAGCCTCGCGACACTGCACTCATTCTCCATTATTGACATTTGCTCGGCAAAGCTCACCCAAAATGTCTGCTGAGAAGCAGTTGAATGAAATTTTCATTTAAAGGTAAAATCTTTCCAACCCCCCCCAAGATTATAAGGTAGTGCCATAGCCAAATGTAATTTGTCCAATTAGTTAAGCTAGCCAGCGTGCCAGTGTTTGTATTTACTTTCTGTTTTGCCAACACCAGGTGTGTCAATAGAGTTAATGAGGACTCCCGCTTTAAAAGAAAAAAGGTGTAATTTTATTCACTTCAACCCCAGCATCTGCTTGTTGGTAAACTGTAAAAAAAAAATCAGACTGGCCAGTAGGGTAATCTGAATGGATTTAGTGAATATTAAGTCCAATGCTTTCATGAACAAATAAGTAAAAGTGTCGTATGCCCCAGGCTGTCATGTTGGCCTTTTAGGGTTCAGGTTTGGAAGGAGGAAAAAATCGCATTCCCATCTCAAACAATTCAGCACGATCTCCCTCTTAGCCCTCTTTCCAAGAAAACCTTTGATCACATCAAAGGCCCTATTTTACCAAACAAGAACCGCCGTCTCTTAAGCCTGCAGCAGACACTGCTGGCCCATTTAAAAATGTGAATTTCAAGTTTAGTGGAGGATTACAAGTAACAATGTTGTGATGGAAATAAACATGATAACTTATTCTCGTTCAATCATACTTAAGAGCAATATTTGTTGATCAAAACTGACATTATTGCTTATTCCGTGTGGGTTAGGTAGACTGTCCAAAGGTACAATTGGAATTTTGCAAGGCAGTCTTGTCTACTGAGCTGCATTGGCTTCTGGTTGTCGAACGAATACATTGTAAGGTAGCACTCGTTACACACAAAGTGCTTTCCACAAATAAACCCAAATACCTTGCTGATCTCGTCAGGGAGCGTAACCTATTAGGCGAACTCCGTTCATCCTCACAGAGGCTTTTGGCTGGCCATCGAACACAGACGGCCACTGCATCACGCTCTTTTAGATACGCCTCTGTGGCTGTCTGGAACGCTCTACCTTCCAATATTAGGAAGCCACTGGCGCTATGCACTTTTAAATAATATAGTTTGAAGCCTCATTTCTCTACGAGTGATTTTTGTGTTTAGTTGGTTGTCCTCCCCTCGCACCTATGATGAGCACAGTTGGCTACGTACAGTGTGAAAGAAGTTCAATATACATACATACAAGTCGGTGAAGAACCTAACATCCAAAATTGCATTTTTGCTCATTTAAGCAAGGAGATTAATGAAGTTAACTTTAACTTGTAGGTCGAGGTATTGTGTGAAGATGGTGTGAGCGGTTGAGTGCCACCCGTTGCTGTCCCTCTTGCCTCTGATGCCATGCCCCCCCCCCTCCCTTCTTCTGCTCACTGCGACTCCCCGCCTCTTTCTCCCCGCAGTGGACCAACGTGTCGGGCAGTTTCCGCAACAGAGACGTGGACTGGCGCTTCAAAGGGGTGAAGGCCAACGAGAGCCCAACAGGATTCGGCCTGCCCATCACGCTGCACATGGGAGACTACAACATGGACGGTTTCCCCGACGTCCTGGTCATACTCGTCAACTCCTCTGATAGGTAACGTGTTCAAGTCAGCTTCTTGTTTTGTTTGTTTGTGTTTGCATTTGAAGGCCATTGTCACCAATTTAAAGGTGCATACGTCTTCCCACGTATACAGTCACTGGGTGTTGATTAATAATACAGTAATTCCACTTGTATAGCGCTTTTCGTCAAGGATGTCAAAGCGCTGTACAGGACACAGCAGCAGCAGATACTGAGCATGAAAATAATTATAAATACATCTTATGAATCCATTTACTAAATTAACCAAATGTTTAACAAGCGGAAACGTATAAACTGAGAAGTCGAAGGAATAACTTTACTCACACAGATCAAAAGTGTTCTGGTTTTTTTTACGCTTTCAAACTCAGGCTAAGAAGCGCTAACGTGTTAAGTTCTGTTCGTCTGTCTGTTACAGGGGTACGATAAATCGTGTAAAGTTCCATAGTTCATAGTTCCATTTATTTGGTATAGCCCTGTGAGCCATTCGGCTCTTGAATCGGGTGCAACCGCAACAAACAAAAAACATGAACAAGAAAACATCTTAAAGTCACTATGTGACTGTGCAAACAGAAAATCCAGGAAAAAAGCATCAAAATATTCCTGAAATAGCACCGTACACCAACGCTGTGTGCAAAAATCCCAGTGGGATGCAAGTCAAACAACAACAACCACAAAACAACTAAGATTAACGCCATCAGTCTAACTCCGTACTACAAAAAAACAAAAACATGGCCAAACCAAAAAACTTTTCGAAATCACCAAAAAATAAAGCCATAAATGCAATGTAACAGTGATCACAGGGACTGTGACCGAATTTTTTTACAATAAACTACATAAATAACATGTAACACGAAACCCTAGAGCCATAGCTGGCTGCATGAGTCACTCCACAAAAGGGATCCGATTTGAACAGAACTTGAATATTAAGTTGTGTTGCTATTAGGAACTTGCCCTATTGAAAACTGGCCACATAGATGAAAGGGGGGTTGCCAATTATGTCCCCAGCTGAGCCCAGTTGTCTCATCGTGGCCTACGGCCATACTGCTTGCTGTGCACCTGCCACAAGTGCTCCCATTATCATCGCATATTAAATACTTTGGAGAAAGAACGCACGTTCATAATGGTTACAGAATTCATACGTGTGCCTACTTATTTCGATTTAAAGCTTTCGTGACTGCAGGGATTCATCTTCTTGCTTCTTTCGGTAAAGTCACGTAGATAGGTTAAAAAAAAATAACAACAAAAAACTACTTTTCGATCTTTGAACCTATCTGCGTGATCCAAAGAATGTGAATTTCTGCAGTCACGGAAGTCAAGATGTATGCCTTCTTTTTCTTCCTTGTTATTCTCGTAAGTTGAGTGACATTTTGTTTTCCAAAACTCAATGGTTTCTCTGAAGTGAACATTAGCGGCCTCGTGTGCTGTGATGTGCACATTGGTTTTACAGGCGGGCGCTGATTGTTACGATCCCATTGTGTGGCATCTATCATATTTTGCTGAATTCATTCAAAACTGTCCTAAATGTGTTTGTTCCACCAAATATGAAGGGCATATAAATGCTCGTCCTGTTCAACAATGTGATACATTTTATGGAAGGAGGTGTCAATTTCAATATGTTTTACCAGATTTCGATTTAAAGCTTTCGTGACTGCAAGGATTCATCTTCTTTGGTTCTTTCGGTAAAGTCACGTAGAATGAGAATAAAATAATAAATTGATAAAATAAAATAACACAATGATATTCTCACGATGAAGGCTGCTTGTGTTGTGGCCGAAACGTCATGAGAATATTATTGTGTTATTTTATTTTATCAATTTATTATTTTATTCTCATTCTACTTGACTTTACCGAAAGAACCAAAGAAGATGTTATACCAGCTTTCCGAATAATTTGGATTTGCAATAAATACCACGTGTTGAGTACAAGAGCAACATTTTTAATCTGGAAGAAGTCGTGCCGCTTGTGAGCAAGGGCTTTTCCTTGTGTTTATTGTATGTATTATCACATGGCGCTGTTTCACTCTACTTGCCACCTACACGTAGGTAGGTGGATGATATTGGTCGCAAAAGCCCAAGTGTTAAACTGACGTAGGGCTTACTAGCTCTCTTCATAATAACACAACACAGCCAACTAGTAAGTGTTGTCACGTAAACAGAACGTGCCAATTCGTCACTAGTCAATTAGTGTTGACTTAATCCATTGTGCCTGCTATTATTTGTAAATACTTGCGAAACGTCGTACTCAGATTGTAAATGTTGTGGCTTGGCTCTCCAACACACCGGTGTGCTGTACTCGTGACGAATTGGCACGTTCTGTTTACGTGACAACCCTTACTAGTTGGCTGTGTCGGGTGGTGGTGGGTTTTAACGACACATTTATATACTTACGCGATTTAACAAAACACCTCTCTTATGGATGATATTGGTCGCAAAAGCCTATGTGTTAGGCTCTGTCTTCGTTATTAACCTTTGTGATGAATACGGTTGGGATACCCACATTTACCCCACCGTAAGTGATCAGTCAGAGTGCCCTGTATACAGCGCAACAATCGATCTTTGTTGATATATATCTAGTTGCATTGCACATGAATAAGGGAATCTTATCATGAGCTAAAAAATACACGAATGCCCAATCCTTAAGACTACGTAAAGAAAAAAAATCTATAAATGTCAATATAATAATATACTGTAGAAAATATAATGTGTAAATAATACAAGTTCAATTTCATAAAGATAATTTCGTAAAATCGGGAAAAAATGCAGTAACAGCTGATATCCAGCTATCTTCTAGGTATATTACAGTTGCAATTAAAAGACGGGTTTTTAGTTGAGGTTTCAATTTATGTTAACGAACTTCCCCTCTGACGTTCATGGAGAGATTGTTCCATAACGTTGAATCCGGATGGCTAAAGGATCGTCCCCGTCCAAAGTCGTGATATATCGGGTAGTGAAGAACTACTACTAGGTGGTTCAAAGCGGGCCGAGTGGGGCCGGCGATGTGCAAAAGCCGCTCTGGTGCGTGAACAGAAGGATTTTAAATGTAACCCTCAAGTGGACCGGCAGCCGACGCAGATCCCTGAGCACTGGGGAGTTTTGCTCTTGACCAGACGTTGAGAGCAAGCTAAACTCGAGCAGCTGCAGTCTGCGGCTACGTTGGCGTTGATAAAATACGCACGTGAGGCAGGCCCAGCACACAGCGGATTAACGATCATCAAGTCATTCACCAGTGTTGGCTTAATCCAGTGTGCCTGATATTTACTGCTGCGTATATTAAAACTAATTGTGCATAAAATATTTTTTTTTTCCTGAGCGTTATACTTTGAATATTTAATTCTTCGTATTGATGTAAAGATACAGTGCATTATGGTTTCAGACACCTCATTTGGGACCCAAACTGTGCGCCTTCTAGCTGTGACATTCCTCCTCCTCAAAGGCACCGGTGCTGTAACCATCAACCACATCAGAACGCCAACAGGCCGACGTGCGCATCTACTTCCTGAATGGAAAATTAAAGACACAAGCCACGGCAGTGTGATTGTGGCCCTGTAACTAAAACTACGGGCCATACAGTAAGCCACTGTAGTCTACGCTCCTTCTACAGAGGAAAAGTAAAGCTGCACACTCCCTCCTGAAGCGCTCTCGTGGCTAGCAGACCTCCACATTGACGTTTAGCTCTTGGAACAGATTGCTATGCGTAAGAATAAAATGATCGTATTCTTGGTTCTTTCGGTAAAGTCACGTAGAAGGGAAATAATAAAATGATAAAAATATAAAACAATAAAATTCTCACGACGTTTCGACTGCAACACAAGCAATCATCATCAGGTGTGAAAACCACAGCAAGAAAATTTGAAAAAAGTGGCGTTTTTTTTATCGTTAGCACCATGGTGAGCGATTTGGCAGTTATTCAGATGGACGAGTCCATCTATGTTCGCAAAAGAGGAGGGGGGAGACGAAAATAATGGATGCGGTTCTGAAAGCCACAAAAAGCGTGAACAATCAATTAAGACCCGAAATGGTTTATCAAATCCTTCCAATGATTGCTAAGCCAGAATCCATCTTCTCGGTTGAAATTGTCTCTGTGTTTGTACATGTGGATAGCCTCATGAACGAATCTTTCATGGTAGCCAGATGGCTTGCAAAGAACCTCTGTCTTGGAGAAGTCAATGTCATGTGAGCCTACTGAATTATAAGAGTGGTCTGCCACGGCCGAGGTGATGGTCCTACCGTGTTTTAGGTCTGCTTTGTGTTCACGCATGCGGTCCGAGACATGTCGTTTGGTTTCTCCAATGTAACTACTACCACAGAGGCAACTTAGTTTGTAGAAGCCAGGGTACTGTATGTCCGGAATCACATCTTTTACAGACGGAACCAGATCACGGATTTTATGTAATGTGTTTAATCGAACCTGGATCTTGGTTCGAATCAATTGATTCCATTGTCAATAAAGCGAGTGAATTTGCAACCAAACCCGTTGGATATGGCCAGGGGCCCGGAACCCAAATTGTACTTTGCACACCGATCGTGTTTTTGTACGTTTTGCTGTTGCAACGTTCTTACCTGCCCCTACAAGACATCTGTGAAAAAGAGCTTTAAAGCTCATCGGATTCCTCCAGTATAAATATTATAATTCTGTCCACGTTGTGCCCCCCACCCCCCCGATCGCCGCCTATTGGATCTGACCCGGAGCCCCCCAGTTCGACGCCTGTGGCAATGCCCAGGCCCGGCCGGCATCCATTATGGCTTTGCGCGCTCCGTTACACGTGGGACAGGCAGCAGCAGCAGCAGCGTTTCACAAAAGGCCCTAATTTTTGCAGCGTTGCTTCATGGCCACAATTTCTGTGTCTTTTATACAAATCTTGCCTGGAACTTTTTCCATAAACTCTTATTATCTAACTATAATCACTTTTTTCCCTTCTTATACACAGTACATGATACATAGCATTTGAGCGATTTAGCAGTTCTGCAGATGTCCCTGCTATGAAGAAGCGCCAAGATGGGCCATTGTCCGAAACG